AATAGAATCTGCCCAGTTTTGTGAAAATGATTTCCAAGTCCACACATAGCCAGTATTCAAATGAAACTTTAGAAGACAATCCCATCTATAAACTAGAGAAGGTAAAGAGGAGTCACATGTTGGAGTTTCAGTCCCTGTTCTGATTGCTTGTGTGAACCTGGGCAAGTTCTTCAAGCTCTGTCTGTAAAATACGATAAAAATGCCTGTTATTGCCTCACAGGATTGTTACGAGGATTTAGTTACCTAATGGACATAAATGCTTACAGCATGAACATTTAAGCAAAAAATAGTAACTTTTCTTGAGACAGACGTACAGCGTCATAACCAGATGAAGTCGGGACGGGTGAAGATCACACCCCATCTTTATTTCAAAGCATAGCTTTCGAATCTGTGTTTTCTGTCTCTTAAAATGTGTTGTAATTCAGCAGAGCTGTCTGCTGAAGGTCCTTATAGAAAGGTAATTGTTGTGTCTGAGGAGATTTCCTCATGTTTTCCTCTTCTCCCTGAAAAACACGGTAAAATCAGTTTTCATCCCCTCCGTGAGCATCACACACCTTGTTTTGGCGCTAACCCATCATCTTCAGCCTTCTTTCAAGCAGCATTAGCTGCATGTTTCATTTGCTTATTGCTTTTCTCTTTGGGTTATTTTGTCCTTAAACAAAGAACATTAGTAAGCAAGAAATAGCCGTTTTGTGAAAACTGCATAGCTAGACAGATTTGTGATCCTTATTAGGGTAATAATCCATCTGTTATAGAACTGGATCAATTTGTAAATTAAATTGATTAATCTAGCAGGGGGAAAGAAAGGTCTTGACTTTTCCCACATAAGCATTTCCTCAAATGGCAGTCATCCTAAAAAGATTTGGGAAGACTCATTTCTCTGCTAGTCTGTCTTTCTCTGCTCAACTCAGAAGGAAGGCCAGACACCTTCTGAAGAGGGGAGGGAGAGTGGAGTTCAGCTTTCGGATTCTCTGGGATCTGATTGTTGCTGGAACTTCCGTATTTTTGACCTGGTGTAATGTTAAAACCGTCTGACGACTGTCAGAATTTTTCGAATACTCACTGATTCGTTTAGTAAATGTATGACTGTGTTTGAATTATCTTCTGCAGTTAGTTTACTGTTATTTTCATCTCGTCTGATCAACAAAATCTTCTGATGAGTTTTCTAACAATGTGTGATTGGAATAATAACTTCACACGTTGAAGAGTTTTGTGCTGCAGCTGAGAGGCATGTAAATACAAGCTGCTTATTTGCAAGAAGATTCCAGATTTGCAATATGATTGCTATGGAAACCACATAATGAAAACCTTATAACCATCTGTGTGGTTTGATGGATTTTACCGCATAGCTGAGCTGTTTTTGTTTACTGTTATTAAAATGTTGAATGGAATATATTAACCCGCCAACGTGGACTATTTGAGGTATTAATTAGTATTGTATAATGACATCGTGACTCAACACCAAAATAAAATATGTTTAATAATAAACCTAAATAAAACGACATGTGTGTATATTTCTAATATATTGTGGAGGTGATTATTGCCTAGAATTTTCATTTGTCCTTACATATTTTTTGAGTGTTGTGGAGATGTTAATAACTGAACATAGTAGGATTTATTTTCATGATTTTGAACCCATTTGTTCACTCTGTATTTATAGAACATCTCCCTTGTACTAGACTTTACTCAAGATTCAGTCTGAGTTTTTCCCCTTAAGATTAAAACACACACACACACACACACACACACACACACACACACACACACACACACCAAATTTGATTTTTGTTTTCTTTTATATGGAAGCTGTTTGTATTGTTAGCTGAAGATAAAACGAGTTGTTCGAATATCGTTAAGAAAAACTGATGTCTGAAGGCTCTGACCTAAAAATAGGTTTGAAATGGAGAAAGGAAGTTTTTTTAATGAGCGTTTCCTCCTCTAAATTACTACTTGGTCAGCATCTCACATGGGTTTCAATTTGGATACTTCTCAGTAAATATTGATACTTAAGTAAACATTTTAATATTATTATTCTGTTAGTTTAAGAATATACTGTTATATTATAGGCACTTAAATTTTAATAAAATAAGAATAACATCATAGTAATAAATTCTTCCAAGTACATTGTTTACTTTGCCAAGAGTGGAGTTTTCCATTCAATTACTGTAATTAGTTTTTGTGATATCTTGACATTAATTTTGGGTGGTGAGTCTATTTCCCATCATGTCTTCTTAAGAGCCCAAATTAGTGCTCCCTATGTCATGGTCATGGCTTTTAGAGGGCAAGCACACTTCACTATTTTTGAATTTACTCCTCACTGTTAGATTTGTGGAGTTGGAGGAGAGGAAGGGCTGGGGAAAGAGAAAGTGTGAAAAGTAAGGAAAGTTTTCTCCTTTTAAAAAAATTAGCCATCTGTAAAATAAGTAGGTTGGACCAAATGTCGGCAAATGTCCATAATAGCTTTAAAATTTGTATGAAAACATCCTATGAACTCATACATGATAACTAGTCCTTGCGGTTTGGCATAAGTGAGATAACTTATTGAAGAGGAAAAAGACAGGATTTAGTATTAGGTTTTTCTTAGGTCTTCCTGTATTAATTACTATTTGACTGAACCATATTAAAATTTCCAACATTAGGGTCAACTTAAAATGTGTAAAGTGCCAACTATTTCCAGCTGTTTCTTTCTTTTTTTTTTTTTTTTGAGCTTTCATTATTTGTTTGAATTGAGTTAGAGAAATTCAAAACAGTTCTATGTTTGTTTTATAAGTACAGTAATTCTCAAGCTTGATTTAAATGTTGAATTTTATTAATTACCACTTCGAAGTTCGCATGGGACTTCTAATTTTGTATCTGTACTCCTGAGCTCTCCACCAAACTTTCCAGTTGCCTCTGGACATTTTCTCTGGGTTGACCCACCAGTACAGTAAACACCTTACATCAAAGGGGCACTGGGTGGCACAGCCAGTTAAGCTTCCGACTCCGCTAGTTTTCAGCTCAGGTCATGATCTCAGGGTTGTGGGATGCGGTCCTGCTTTGGGCTCTGTGCTCAGTGGGGAGTCTGCTTGAGAGTCTCTCCTTCTTCCTCTGCTCTTCCCTTTTCTCTCTCTCTCTGTCTGTCTCTCACTCAGATAAATAAATTTAAATCTCTCACGTCAGAAACACAGCTCCCTCCACAGTGTAGCTTACCTTGGCTATTCTTTTCTCAGGAATGATGCTCTCATATCGCTGTTAACCAAGCTCAAAACTTGAGTCACCCTCAGTTTCTCTCCCTCTGCAGCCCTCCACATCCAGGCAGGCACAAAGTTTATCCATTGTCATTCCTTTCCCTCTCATAACTGGCTCCTTTCCATTTCCCCTGCAGTTCAGGACTGCCTTCCCCTTTAGCCAGACTCTGAGTGGCCTTTCTCCCCATGCCCTCCTTCAGGCTGTCTGGGACAACGGGATCCAATGACCATTCCTCAAGCATAGTTTTGGTCCTGCCCTTTCTCTGCTCAGACATCTTCTGGGGCGCTTATTGCCACCAAAAAAGGGCTAAAGTCCATAGCCAGATGTTGATGGCCCTTCGACAGCTGGCCCAGACCACTAGCATTATCCCCTCCTGTTCTCCCCTTTTGAGTACTGCATTCTTTAGCCAAATGGATATTATTGTGCTTTTTCTTTTGCTTATGACTCTCCCTCTGTCTAGACAGTTCCTCCTCCCCATCTCTGTCTGTTCAGATTTTCTCCATCCCTCAGAGCCTTTGTGGTGTTCCCCCTTGGGTGGTTTCCGCTCTGTGTTCCTTCTGAACCTTGTGCCTCCCATGTGAGGTTCTATGCACCGCCCACCCCCCAGTCCCATCTTCCTTTAGATACTCTCTTCTGTCCCTTGTAGGCTGTCAGCTTCCCAAGGGCAGAAGCTCTCTACTGTCTTTGCCTCCCTGGTAGAACCTCCCTCTTCCAGGTAGCTAATGCCCAATGAAGATTTGTTGGTTGAATTATTTAATAGTCATAGTGGCTTTATTTCTATATTTCACATATTTTATGATAACATTTTTGCTTTTTCTTGAAAGTATTCTTTCTGAACTCTGTTTTTCTTGGGCATGCCATTTAGTTCATATGTCCTGCCTTAAATATTTCTAAAGTGTGTATAAATCCTTAGGTGAGGAAAATGGACATGTAATAAATGACTCTTTAATGTAAAATAATTAAATATAGTCTATTGACCTTGCATAAAACTCTTCTTATTTGATCTTCTCCTGTTTCTTCCTATAACTTGGGAGAAATGCATGTGAAAGGAGAGTGTGGAAATGACAAACATGGGGCCTGAATACATCGCTGGATAAAGAACACGGACATTATGATCACAAGCCCGAGTTAGAATCACAAACAGTGGATGTTTCTGTACCTTTTTGAGCCTCAGTTAAATCATCTGTGAGAGGAGGATTTAGAAGGATCTGTGAAATATTAACATCTGCTATAGCTTATGGCATAGAGTAGATCCTGAGTAGCATTTAGTGGGGATTGCCTTGAAGGGTGAGGATCCTTCTAGTATTCTTCTGTGAAGATCAAGTGGGAACACATGAAGCATCTGATACTCAAGAAATGATTTATAGGTTAACTATATTTTGTATCACACATTTCCCCTTGCCCACCATGATGTTTTAGGGACTACAGTTTTATCCGTGGTGGGTCTGGGTGTTCCTTCCCCGGATTTCCGGGCTGGTCTGCACTGGGGAGCTTTCCGGATGAGTTTCTGTAAGTACTTAAAACCAAGTATGTGTGGCTTTAGGACGTATCTTGAGTTTTATCAAGCCAACTGGTGAGGTTGCTCTCTGGAAACAGCTAGAGGTCTGTTTGTTCAGCTTTAGATTATTGGAAAAGGAATGTGAATGTTGAGTGGTTTCATCCTTTGAGAAGGAATATTTATATGTTCTAAACTTTCTGTTTTGCTCGTCAGTCGGGGTGAGTACTGCTATTTCTGAGGTGGTCTTTCACTGTGTCTTTCTGCTTGTTTACAGAAGAGGAGGAGGACAGTGTTCCTGCACAAGTGGAGGAACAAAGGAAGATGAGCCAGGACAGTGCTCTTCCCAGCACAGGTAACGACTGGCGTGGCTTCCTGGGGAAGCTTCTTTTGGTTTTGTTCCCTTTCCCTTTGGTCACTTTCCTATGGCTCCAAAGATGTGTACACAGCTCCCCGAAGTTGGCTGGTTCGATCTGGGTATCTTACGGCTGATAAGCTGCTTAGTCCCATTTAGGATGCATGGAAACCCTTGAGAAGGATTTATAAAGTAAGCCAATTTATACAAGGTATTCCTTCCTGAATTACTTTGTAATGACTCAATTAGCTTTCATTTCTGCACAAAGGAGATTTGGTTGCATAAATTAGCTTATCATCATTGAGGAAGTGTCACTGCTGAAGGACAGTTTATAGATACAACATGCAGTTGCTGTCAAACCTATAAGAATGTAATATAGACATCTGTGTATACTTTGTGCTTGAGCAGAACAGACTTCTGCCATTCAGAGACTAACAGGGGACAACAAGTTGCCCAGGGGACTGGCAATGTAGACATCTCTGAAAAGGTCAACTTGACACAGGCTCTGACAATCGACCCACAGCTCTGTCTTCTTTGATAAAAATCAGATAAACTTAAGACCGCTAATTGATCTGCAGCCTGTTTAAATGTTGGCCATGCATATCTTCATTGCATATGATTAACACAGAAAGCAAATGAATTGGGTAAGAAATGCCAGAGTCCAGTGACAGCAGTTTAGAAATCGGAAAAGGACACTGATGGCCTAGAAGGCGAGGAAGGATATTCCCCTTATCCATTTCTACTTGGCACATGGCCCCAAGTACTAATTATGACTGAGACTGGAAAAATAACTCTACATGCTATATACAAAAATCACATGATATGGGCAATTTTTTTTTCTTTTTTGTGGGTTGTTATTTCCAAATAGCAGGAGATAAACCATATCTGTAGTGCAAGCATGAGGTTAGCTTTGATAAACCAGCAATTATTTTACACGGAAAGAAGAGAGGGGGAGTGCTTTCTTATCAGGCCCTTTACACCTCTTCACAGCCACTTGTCTGCTGGGGCAAGGTCTGCCCTATCATCCCATGTCCTGCAAAGAGCTGGAGTTGAGGGTCACCTTCCCTTCTCTGATCCGTTCATTCATCACTCTCTCCAGCTGTCAGAGGCTCGGTGGACAGGAAGTGTGTGTTCAGGAAGTAGCTTTCCCGAGTCCTTCCTACCGTGACACGTGGAAAGGAAACAGGGGCCTGATTTCCGGACCTGGACAGGAAAGCAGGAGCAGGTTGCCACAGGAGGCTTTGGTTTGCTTGTTTCAGAAAGGAAGTGAGGACGAAGGCTTTCGAAGTGAGCACCGTGGTCCTGTAAAATGCAGCCGTAAAATGCCAAGGCTGAACGCAACCTTGAGGGCACTGCCGAATAGTAATTTAAGTCGGTGTGTTTTATTGTGTGTCATAAAGCTTCTGCCGAAAGTGTGGAGGTTTTTTTTGTTTTGTTTTGTTTTGTTTTAATTTCAGTGCAGGTGTAAAAGGTAGACACCTATACATACCCCTTCCACAAACAGAAGTATTTTGGCTTAAAGCAATTGTATTTTTCAAAAGCCCTTTTAAAGTAACTCTTTCCCAAATTTTTGCCTTTGAGGGAAGGGAGAAAAAAGTCCGTTTTTCTTCAAGGGAATGCAGTAAGTAGATCTAGCTTTCCATGCAACAGCCATAAAGCGCTGTAATAATTCTTATCTTTAGTGACATGAAATTCTTTTCAAGCAACAGTTTTAATGCTTTTGCATCTCAGTGACCTTTGCTCTCTCTGGGCTGTCAAAGATGTAACCCTAGAAGTTTGTTTGCTGTGCAGGGCAGTGAGTTGACAAGGGTATTACTATCTTGCTGGGCATCACATGACATGAACTTCTAACCTTACTCAAGAATGTTATATATTTTTCACATGGACTGATTTTACCTAAAAAGAGAAAAGAAAATTCAGATGAATGTAAAATATGTAAACAAAAACATAATCTTGTGTTTCTTAGAAGTTCTTTCATGTTCAAGCTTACATGTCTTACATATGTTTATTAATTATACACAAAATAAAGATTCCATTTGATTTATTTGTAGAATATGCTTACCTTTATTTATTTATTTTTTTAAAAGGTTTTATTTATTTATTTGACAGAGAGAGAGAGTGCTCATAAGTAGGCAGAGAGGCAGGCAGAGAGAGAGAGGGGAAAGCAGGCTCCCCGCTTAGCAGAGATCCCGATGTAGGGCTCGATCCCAGGACCCTGAGATCATGACCCGAGCCGAAGGCAGAGGCTTAACCCACTGAGCCACACAGGTGCCCTTATGCTTACCTTTTTAAAATACTTTTTAAACCTCTAAGACCACTCAGGAAGAGATTCTCCATTATTTTATTGTTGAACGTTTCAGTCCTTGTCATCATATTTTAAAAATCTTTTTGTTTTTGCAAAAGCATCTCTAGCCTTTAGCTTGTATTTTCCTAACAGTTCTGATACTGCCCAATAATCTGTTTTTTTATGTTTTCAAAAGCAGGAGCAAATACATCATTTAAATCCTTCACAGGCTGGCTAATTTAGAATGGCTGTTTTTTCTTTCTTTCCTGTCTTTTTTAACCATTCACGCCTTCCCAGGACAACAAATGTAATGAGGTGGGTTTTTGGTTTTTTTTTGTGTGTGTTTTTTTTTTTTTTTGTAATTTTGAAACCATAGATCACAATGTGGGAAGATTAATCCATGCAGCAATGACAACTCAACAGACTTACTTGTATTCAGAATGTATGCTTCTCTGTGCTTTATGCTTTATGCTCCATACCATTTTTGTACGGTTTTTTTAAAAACATATTTCACACGGATGATTGTTTTTCAGCGTGTGAGGCGAATGATGCTAACTTTCCTGAGCCCACTGTGCTTCGGAGGCTGTATCCATGGGTAATTTTTTGAGGACAATTAGCCACACTTAAAATTTTAAAATTTAGGGTCGCCTGGGTGGCTCAATGGGTTAAGCCTCTGCCTTCTGCTCAGGTCATGATCCCAGGGTCCTGGGATAGAGCCCCGCATCGCATCGGGCTCTCTGCTCAGCAGGGGGCCTGCTTCTCCCCCCACCCCCGCCTGCCGCTCTGACTACTTGTGATCTCTGTCTGTCAAATAAATAAATAAAATCTTAAAAAATTTTTTTTTAATTTAAAATTGTAAAAAGTGGACCAGAGGCGCTTGCTCTTGAAGGAATAAGATAAGTCCTTATTTTTGTATCTAGAATTCATACCCAGAATGTTAACATTATTTTCCCGAGGAAATGAAGGCTAATAAATCCATACTGCCAGCTTTTCTCTTTAGTCCTGGTTCTTCTGCTTTATATAACTAGTATTGCATTCGGAAATGGACAGAATAGTAAATTGTGTGTACATATAGTCGTGTGACATAAACCACTTATGCTTTAACAGAGCTCACATAGGGGACACAGAAATGAGGTGGGTCTTTGGGTAACATCATCATCGAGATTATAGAAAGCACAGTCAAAAATGCATCTTTTGCCGGGTATTGCTAAATCGTTAGCGTTGTTGCCTCTTTACAGCAGTGAGATTTAATGAAATGCTTCTGATGCACATCTGGGGAGAGATGTATCTTGCGCGCGGTGGGAGTCTCCCTTCCCCTCATGTGCTCCTGTGACTCCCATTAGTGTTAATGGGAGCTTCACCGAGTGCATCGAGGGGAAGAGAGACCCCAAAGTGATAAGGATTATGTGGTAGAAAGCACCATACGCTTTTTCTTTCCTTCCTTCTTTCCCCACCGCTTGAAAATCTATTGAATGAAAAGCTGTTGGGAGAGAATCTGAAAAAGAAGGAGCAGGCGGCCGGCTGGACAGCTGGGGACGCACCGGGATGCTCTTGCTCAGCCAGAACTTCTCCAGTTTTAGCCCAAGTGTTGTTTATCTAACCTTTTTGGATCAAGCCTCAGGCTAAGCAGCATGGGGACCGCACAGGAGCCTCGAATGGGGAAACCAGCTATTTAGATCCTTTTACCTCCTGGCCAGTGACTGTGGGGGAGGGCCTGCATGTGGAATGATGTCATCCTCTCTGCGCTCTAATTCCTTGACTTTTAAACTGACACTGACAGACTGCTCGGGGCGCAACATTTGACCCATTTAGCAGTTGATTTAATCTGACTAGAATGTCTCAACTTCTAAATCTCTATTTGTCTAAATAAGTGGTTTTTAAAGGAAATCAGTCACTTTATTATTAAGTAATTCTTTCTCAAAGAAAAAATTGACAATGTTTGGAGAGATCTGTCCAGCGGGAGTGCCCTCTAGTGTCCATTCATAGAATTTACCTAATATGTGCTTTTGGGGGGAAATGTAATGAAGGGTGGCGGCAAGCATTGTTAGGTCTTGGTTGGATTCCCAGGCTCAGAGACCTCCCGGCTGGTATCAGTGATGAGTGCTCAGACGCAGGAGTGGAGAGGTCAGAAAGGTGTCGGTCTCTCTCCCTTCCCCTCCCATTCTCCCTCCCTCCTTCCTCTCATTTCTCCATTTTTCTCTCCCTCCCTCCCCCCATCTCTCTCCCCCGTCTCTGAATTTTTAGAAACCAAGAGAGAAAATGTAATAGGATTTTGCTAGGTTGCGCATTCCAGTCCTTGTTTATTTTCTTAATGTACAATCAAAAAGTATTGTCTTTATACGTTTTCAAGCGCCACATGACTCAGATTTCCTTTTTGGCTTTTAAAAACATGTGTCGGATATTAGAATTTTCGGAACGTCTGATACACTGTTACCACTTGGTGTACATCACAAACCGCCCAGTGTCGGACGTATCCGCAGGTGCCCCGCTAACGTGCCTGCTTGTGCTGGGCTTGCCAAGGAGCCTGCTGTTTGAGAGCCATATAACAAAACTAAGATGACAGCCCTGATCCAGCACATGTCTCCACAGTTATCCCCTCAGAATTCAGAGATGACATTCCAATGATGGAAGTTGTCAGCACGTATATGTTGTGCCTGGTTAGTGAACACACGGACATCTTATTGATATCACTTGCATTCTTTTTGCGTGAACTCATCAAAACTCAATTATCATGAAATTAAAAACAGGAAACAGTTCTCAGTGTAACAAAAGCATCCAGTGTATTTAACTCTGAGCCACGTTTCAAGAGAGCCCCATTGTATAAGTGACAAAGCATTTATTACTCCGGTTTATTGTGGTATTACAGAGCGGAGAGTGCTAAATAATCAATCAGTTAATGGTCTGTATGGCAGTTTGAGCACATCGCATCCATTGTGCTTATGCTGTTAGAGGGATGAGCTGATAACTCCAGTGTATGTTGCATGTTTATTCAGAGCGCGATGTCCTAAACTGGGGCTGACGGAAATCTTGAAAAATGCCGCTTCAGCAGCGGCACTTTCAAAGTTGCTCAAATATTTAAGAAATAAGTTTGAGAGGCTCTCGGTGCAAAAGTCCCCAAAGATAAGAGCTGGAATTACCCTTTATGTTATTTCCACTGTATCTTCTTCTCTAACCAGCTTGAGGTTTTAGAATGAAAACGAACGAACAAAAACTGTCGCCTAGTTTGGGTTATGTCTGTGCCCTATTAGCTCCTTGATGTTCATTTAAATACAGATTATTTATGAGGTGTCCCAGATGCTCACATGTTCTCTCCCTCCCTTTGTCTCTGCTTTTTGGGTAAGTTTTAGAAGTTTGGTAAGGTGGTTGTTTCATGATGCGTGTGTCCCATGTCGTGGATATCGCTCAGCGTGCAGCCTGGGTGACTGACTTCAAAACATGTTGTGAGTGGGGTTAGGTCCACTCTACAAAATAAGTGAGAAGGAACTTTTAGGTGCTGGTTTGAGGAGAACACATTGCAAATCCAGGTTTTAGGTAAAACAAAAGAGGGAGAGAAAGAAAAGAAGAGACGTGCCAAGAGAGGTCTTTTTGAAATCTGTCCTTAATTAGATCACTGTAAGAGGTAGGATTTGTCTATCCACGTAATCAAGGGTTCTTTGAATCCAGACAGAATTTTTCTTCGCCTGTTTTGGTGGTTTGAGGTAGCCCTTTAATTTCTGTTGGTTCGTTTTAAATAAGGGCCCATTATATGAAAGCTCTAACTCATGTTTGCTCTCTCTTCTTCCTAGGAGATAAAAGCACCGATTATGCGAATTTTTACCAGGGTTTGTGGGACTGCACAGGAGCTCTTTCCGATGAGTTGTCATTTAAACGTGGTGATGTGATTTACATTCTTAGCAAGGTAAGAAGGCACCCCAGATGACAACTGTAAAGGGTGAACCCAAAGCTAGATTTTTATGCATCTGGGTTTACAACACTGGGGAAAAATGCCAATTGGAATTCCTCTAGGTCCTTGTTAACAATTGGGAGTTCACAATAATTAATTATTTTGTCAAGTGAAATATAATCAAATTTTAAACACAATCAGATAACAGGATTCAACTTAACAGTGTGTTTACCTATCACTTCAGCCTTTGGCTCACATCCACACACAGCCTTCTCCAGAAACAATATACTTATGTGAAAGCTAACATTGTAAGGTATTGGGTTATTTATTATGTTTTTCTTTCCTCTTCCTTTTTATTCTTCTGTGTGCTTATTCTGGTTTTGTCTGCCATTCACTACTGGAAACACTGTTTATAGTAGAAGTTTTTCATCTTTATGTAAATACATTGGTGTTCCGACAATTTAAAAGCAATGCTTTTTCTATTCAGACAGGTCTAGGTGATTTTTTTTAAGTTTAACATAGTTGTATTTGTAAACATAATGGCGGAGTCTGTTGCTACGAACATATATATATATATATATATATATATATATATATATATATATATCAGTGTCTCTGCCTCTTAACATACTGCATAATTGAAAACCGTTCTGTCTTTAGATCTAAAAGTCATGTTTCTTATTGTGATGACATATGTGAGCTCCCTTAATTTTCATATTTAACTTTCCCTACTGTGATATGGGGATTTAAAAAACTCCCTCAGTCTACTTTATGAAACTATTTTAGAAACAAATGATGTATGAAAACTATTTAAATATAAGTAGGGAGACGTTCTATAAGTCTAGGAGTTTAATGTGGTTTCTTGATTTGAGAAAAATTTGTACTTTTCAGAAAGATAGTATGACTTGCTAGATGCAGAAGAGAATTTGGAAATAAGGTCACTTACTGACTCATTTTTTTTTTTAAGATTTTTATTTCTTTACTTGATGGAGAGATAGAGAACACAGGCAGGGGGAGCAGCAGGCAGAGGGAGAGGGAGAAGCAGGCTCCCTGCTGAGCAGCGAGTGCAATGTGGGGTTCGATCCCAGGACCCTGGGACCATGTTCTGAGCCGAAGGCAGATGCTTAACAGACTGAGCCACTCAGGTGCCCCTCACTTATTGCCTCTTAGCACAAGATGGTTGGTGGATAAAATCATAACATAGAAAATCACAGAACATTTGAATGAGGAATCTGAGTAATGATCATCTACCTGTTCTTGGTTTTATAGCCAAAGAAACTTGGGTCAAGAAAGTGCCAGAGCTAGTGCTTAACTAGGCATCTGGATGCTCAGACCAATGCTTTCTCTTTTTCTTCTCATTTGAAACTGTTATAAAGTACCTACAAGGCCCATGTTAACACCAAGAATCCAAGAGGAATACTATAGAAGCACTTGTAGATTATTGGGGAAAATATTTAGTAAGCAGATATTGCCAGCTGTGATCATTGCTAGTTGAGATGCCCAGAGCTAAGACTCCTCACTTACCTTTTCTCTGCCCTCTGCTCCTTCGTCTCTATGTTGTTTTTTTAGGGAGAGATGCTTTTAGTTCTTGGGAGTCAACTCTTGGATTAAGCCTATTATTGAGCATTTAATTGTCCTGAGTTAAGGCAACACTTTTTTTTAAAAAAAGATTTTATTTATTTATTTGACAGACAGAGATCACAAGTAGGCAGAGAGGCAGGGCCGAGGGGGTGCTGAGCAGAGAGCCTGATGTGGGGCCTGATCCTAGGACCCTGGGATCATGACCTGAGCCGAAGGCAGAGGCTTTAACCCACTGAGCCACCCAGGAAGCCCCAAGGCAACACTTTTTTTAAAAAAAAGATTTTATTTATTTATTTTTGAGAGAGAGAGCACGTAGGAATGAGCACAAGCAGTGGGGAGAGGCAGAAGCAGACTCCTCACTGAGCAGGGAGCCTGATGCAGGGCTTGATCCCAGGACCCCAGGATCATAACCTGAGCCAAAGGCAGGCGCTTAACTGACTGAGCCATCCAGGTGCCCCAAGATAACACTTTTTTTGAGTGAATAACTTAAAATAGAAACCAAACTGATTCATTTCAGTTCAAGAGAGTTTCTTGAAATTATTCCTCAAATCTACTCAGCTCACAGTTATTTTTACCAACTTAGGGGCAATTGTGTATAAAATTAAAAGGTTGATTAGCTTCTACTTGAAATTCCAAACTGTAGGATAAATGGCTTATAGTCTTTATATTATTATGGTAAAATGTGAGACTGTATGGTAAATTGTGGATCTGTTCTTAAAGCCTTCTTTATGAGTCAGGCTGTGTGCATTGCTGAAAAGCTCAGAGTACCAACCTCTGGGACACACTGTCGGACAAGTAGAGGTCCCATTGTCTCAGAAAATTGTTTTCTGTCGCTGTGAAGTTAAAAGTACAATCCTAGGTGTATATCACACTTCTAGGATCCTGGGGTAGGTAATTTCTGTTCTCCCAGACCTGTTCTGTGGAGACTGTCATTTCATCTGTGAAGCTTTATCATAGAGCTAAGGGTAGTGGTGGTCCAGCTCAAAGGAAGAGCATCCTGCCATCTAAAAGGTCTAAATGCTGTTATTTGGGTATTGCTTACCAAAAAGATTCCTTCAACCAGCCCTTCACAAGACTCGAAGTTCCACAGTCAACATCATTTCATGAGGGGCCTTCTAGATATGATTCTTGTATCTGGAGCTCATTTTGGATTTTTAAAGAAGAGACAAGACATTGTTAGGGCAGCACGTTATTACTGTTGGCTGAATGATTTATTACCAATATTTACCCAGCTGTGGACCTGGTAGGAGCAACCAGGTAAATCTTGGTGAGGGTGAAGAGAAAGGACACTTAGCTCCCCCTTGATGGGATGTGGACAAATTCTGGGCCATTAGTGGGCATCTTGGCTATTGGTTTCCAGGTCATTTTGGGAGTCAGTATCTGTTTGTGAAGACTCTTGCTTCCCCAATTTTGGGGGCACAGTTTCAGAGGAACCTCTGGAGACTCTAATAATTCTTTACTGGTTTGATCGTCCAGTTCTTATCAAAACTTTGGCCAAAATAGACCATAAATTAATGTCATAAATTCATTTAATATGTAAGTGACAGCAATCTGGATGTTTAATGCTATTGTCAATTCAGAACTCAAGGTCCTTAGAGTGAAAAATTGCTCAGAAGGACTTGTTTCTGGATCAAGGTAGAGAGCTAGATTTTTAAAAAAGTACAATTAGTGTAGAAACCACTAGCATTATTATATGTCTAGAAATCTGTTTCATCTTTCTCTGGGTTATATTAGGTTTCGCGTTGATAGAATGAAATTTTACCATTTCAATTTATTTTTTACACCATCTAGTGGCTCACAATGAGTGGTGCAGGTAATTACAGCTAATGTGCACAATGAAAATGATGTCATAAATTCAACTTTAAATCTAGCTGTGGATTATTACTTTCCTATCTCGTGTCAATAAAATGTTAGCATTGATCATAAATTTTTTCATTCATAAATTAATTCTTCTGAATTAAGTGTAAACATTGCATACGTAAGGAAGAATACATTTTAAAGGAGTCTTAGTATCTGTAGAGGCATTAAAATGTATACTTTGTAAAGAAATTAATGCTGCAACTTTTCAAATAAATAATGCCGTTTAAAAGATTTTAAAGAAATATGACTGGGGGGGGGCACCTGGCTGGCTCAGTGGGTTAAGCCGCTGCCTTTGGCACGGGTCATGATCCCAGGGTCCTGGGATCAAGCCCCGCATCGGGCTCTCTGCTCAGCAGGGAGCCTGCTTCCCCCTCTCTCTCTCTCTCTCTCTGCCTGCCTCTCTGCCCACTATGTGATCTCTGTCTGTCAATTAAATAAATAAAATCTTTAAAAAAAAAAAAAAAGAAAGAAATATGACTGGGGCGCCCGCGTGCTGCGGTTGGCTGGTCATCTGACTCTTGTTTTCGGCTCGGGATGATCTTGGGGTCGCAGGATCAGGCCCAAGTCTGGCTCCCCACTCAGCTTGGAGTCTGCTGAAGTTTCTCTCTACCTCTCCCCGTACCCCTCCCCATGTGCACTCTCTCTCTCTCTTTCTCTCAAATAAATAAATCTAAAAAAAAAAAAAAAAAAGGAAATACAACTTGCTTTTCAAAATTAACTGACCTATATTTTGCAATATTTAATTATCACTGGTCTAACTTACCTTCTGGAAGGTTGTCAGTACTGAAAATACCCTTAAAAAAGGCAACACAAGATAGTTTAAGAAAAGATGCATTTAAATACAAACAAAATTTAGATAAATCAGGGGCTAAACATGGTATGCAATGATAAAGAGGGTTTTAATTTTTTAAGTGAAATGGCAGAAAAAGATTGAATGAGTTTGATGATTGGGTTGTCTTCATTAGAATTCCCTGCAGAAATATAGTTTGGTTTTAAAATTCAGTCCTCTTTCTCTGTTTTTTCAAGGAAGCTTTGATGGGGTGTCAGCTGTGCTCAGTCAGCCTGGGGGTGATTTATTTATTTCAGGCCTCTTTTGAGAGTTATACAAATCTTAGCCTTAAAAAAAATTTTTTTTAAGTAAAAATCCAATGTTGCAATAAAGAAGAGTAAGCAGATAACCTACCCTGCCCCCTTCCCTTTGTGACATTTTGCAATTAGCAGCTGTCACATGACCCCTGGCTGAGCTAGCCTCTCTTTCAAAAAGTGTCTGTCATTTTCTAAGTTTTAACCTTCGAAGCTCAGTGATAATGAATGTAAGTACCGCTTACCTAAAAAGGAGAGCCAACAACTTTTTGCTTCCAGTTCCTTTTCACCTAGGATCACTGCTGTTTTTTATGTATGAAAACGCATTATGTACTTGGGTAGTTCGGTGGAGATTAGGAAATTTTTTCTTTCTCGCCTAAAGACAATGAGGCACATTTACAGGAATGGATAAAAGTGGAATTTGTAATTTTAATGAGAGCTATGTTGTTAGTGAATTGATTCTGAAACACATGGCCAGATTTCTGATTTGT